GAGCCGGGGGTGCCTTGGGCACATTAATGGCCATCTGATCTCCTGGGGCAAATGAAGATTATTATTCATTACAAATAATGAGATCTCAAAGAGCACAACGGTGGGGGCTGGCTGCGGAAATAGCTGTAACAGCAACCCCTGCAGCTGAGACCCAGAGCAAAGCCAGGACTGCTGCTGTGACGATCTGGGGGGTGCAGGCGGGACCGTCCCATCACAGGCGCACCCACGTACACTGGAGGCCTGTGTGTGATGGTGCCTCCTGGAACTGTGTGATGTCCAGCCTGTGCAACCGTACCCGCAGCCCCAACCCCACATCCCTTCGCTCGAGATGACTCCGATTAAATTCTCTGAGAAAAATCACTGCAAACAGCTATGGCAGGTCCTAGTGGGCTCTTGAATATTTTCTGGGATGTTTAACCTTTTGACAGCCTGTGCCAGGAAGAAGTTCGACAGACACCTTTCTCCAAATCGGGGCAAAGGGTTTTCTTCCCAGAATACCTGAACTCTCCCTCTTTTCCAAAGGATGGGCTATACACAGGATGCTGAAACTTCTTCTTTTTCGTTGTAGAAGTTTTCTTCAAGAGAATGGGCACCGAGAGAAGACAGGCAAAACCAGCTCCTAACTTAATCCTGTTTCCTTGAATAAAGACATCCTGGAACAACAAAGCAACACTGCATCAGCGGCGGTGGTGGACCGCTGTCCCCCTCTCAGACCGATCCCCGCCCCCCAATATGGCATATTAACCGACCCTGCCTGCCTTCACCCCAATCTGGGTTGTTTGGACACAAACACTCCTGCTCTGCTCTTTCTAAAAAACATAACATATTTTTAGGACCTGGGGGTCTGGCTGTGTTGCCAGGCTGGAATGCAGTGGCTGTTCCGGGCACACCAGGAGCTCATCACAGCCCCAACCTCCTGAGCCGCGGGTGCCAGCTCTCTGGGTAGCTGCAGCTACAGGTGCACCATGCCCAATTGTTTTGTCTGTTTATACTAAAATTTTTTCTTTCCTCTTAGCTTCGCCTCAGTAGCTGTGGCTACAAAGTACCCAGATCCTCTTTAAATGTTGCAGTGGCACAGTGAGACCCTGCGCTCTAAAAAAACAGGTGAAAGTAAAAGTTGCAATACAAAAAGTATTAAGCTACTTTTTTTTTTTTTGAGACAGAGTCTCACTTTGTTGCCCAGGCTAGAGTGAGTGCCCTGGCGTCAGGCCTAGCTCACAGCAACCTCACACTCCGGGCTCAAGCGATCCTCCTGCTCAGCCTCCCGAGTAGCTGGGACACAGGCATGTACCACCATGCCCGGCTAATTTTTTCTCGTATAGTATATTAGTTGGCCAATTAATTCTTTCCTATTTATAGTAGAGACGGGGTCTGCTCTTGCTCAGGCTCGGTCTCGAACTCCTGACCTCGAGCAATCCGCCGCGCTCGGCCTCCCAAGTGCTAGGATTAAAGGCGTGAGCCACCGCGCCCGGCCTAAGCTACTTCTTGAGGAGAGGAAACCCTCATACCCTCCTGGCGGAGAAGTAAAAAGGCTCCTGGCCGCCTAACAGATCACAGTGATCGGTGCCGCGGGCCGCAGGATGCGCGGTGCTGGCCCTCCACGGCTCGCTCCACACTGAGACGAGCGGACGTCACGGCTCCGCACAGAAACGCGGAGAGAGACGAAAGCCCCCGTGGGCAGCCCTACGAAACGCCGTCCCCGTGATCTGGTCGTGGAGACGCATCAGACAAACCCAGGCTGAGCGGGAGTTTGTGCAAGGAAATAAAACAAAAAATGTCTAAGTCACGAAAAGACAAAGAAATATGAGGATCTGTTCCAAATTGAGGAAATGAAAAAGACTAAGGACCGGATGGCTTGTGTGTGACCCTAGATCTGAAAAGAAAAATATATATATATTTTTGTTATAAAAAGACGTTATTAAGTATGATTAGCACAACTTGCCATGAGGACAGCATGTTGGAGAACATTCTATCATGCTAAATTCACGGCGTGTGATCCTGCCGTTACAGGTACGTAAGAGAATGTCTGTCCCTGGGAAATACCACATGGACGGTCTTGGGGTAAAGGTCTGCACCTCACTCTCGAAAAGCCTAGAAAAGGTACTGATAATGTCTGCGCGGAGACAGTGAGTGACTAAAGAAATGTGGCAAAGGTGTTAGCAGTTAACCAGGCTGGGGCGAAGGTGTTGGAGTTCTTGCATTGCTTGCAACTCTCTGTAGGTTTCAAACTAAAAAAAAGGTTTTTTTTTTTTGTGTTTTTTTTTTGAGACAGAGTCTCGTCTTGTTGCCAGGCTAGAGTGAGTGCCGTGGCATCAGCCCACTCACAGTGCAACCTCAAACTTCTGCTTAAGCGATCCTCCTGACCTCAGCCTCCTGAAGTAGCTGGGACTACAGGCATCGCCACCATGCCGGCTAATTTTTTCTCATATATATTAGTTGGCCAATTAATTTCTTTCTATTTATTAGTGGAAGACGGGATCTCGCTCTTGCTCAGGCTGGTTTCGAACTCCTGACCTCGAGCAATCCGCCCGCCTCGGCCTCCCAGAGTGCTAGGATGACAGGCGTGAGCCACCACGCCCGGCCAAAAAAAAGTTTTAAAAAAAATAAAACACTCATCCCTGATGTCCAATCCGTGGCCGAGAAACCTAGGCGCTTCCCAGGGCCCTGGGATAAAGTGGCTGCCCCGACGCGGAGGAGGGGCCCTGCCGGCCACTCACCCGCTCCCGGCAGAGACCCCGCTGTCGTGGGCGGAGGGAGAGACGCCGGACCCGGCCCACCGCCAAGGCAGCGAGCGGCCAGGGTCCTGCTCACTATTCCCATCCTCTCCTCCCTCCGCCACGCAGGCAGGGGACCCTCCGACCCTCCCGCAGGGCTGCTGTGCGTGGGTCACATGCCATCGCTTCACGCGGACTTGAGAGGACTCCTTTCCCTCCCCCGCCCCGACGCTGAGCGAGCCACCCTGGCCGACCCGCCAAGGCACGGGTACCTTTCCATTCAGGGTCTGAAAACGCTCCTCCACTGGTCTCAGAACATAGGACTCGAACTGACAGGTAGACTGAACGCTGCTCGACAGGCTTCCTCGGCAGGGGACCAAGACCTGAAACACACAATCGGGTGACCGTTGGAGAGACAGGGTGTTTATAACTTCAGCCCCAGAGACGCCCCAGCTGGGCGGGTGGGGACCTCCTGGCAGGAGAACTGGAAGCAGACGCTCCCCGCCACAGGCAGGGGGAGGACGGGGACGGCACAAGCCCGTTTCCATCTTCAGACGTGAAGACTGACAGGCCCTCGCCTGCCGGGTCCCCCCACAGCGGAGCCCGGGCACCCCTCTATCTCCACCGCCCAGCTACGAGTGCCAGCAGGCTCAGGGGCAAGTCTAGGTGGAAGACAGGAGCATCCGGAAGGTACGGAAAAGGGATTCTAAAGAATCACACATGGGCAGGGCACGGTGGCTCTCGCCTGTCATCCCAGCACTCTGGGAGGCCGAGGCGGGCGGATCGCTCGAGGTCAGGAGTTCGAATGCGACCCCTGCGGGAGTGAGCACCCAACTCCCAGACACAGGCGGCTCCGGGGAAGAGCGATTCCTGCCCCGGAGAAGCCCTCATGGCAGACAGAGAAGCGAGAGACGAAGGTGAGCACCACCAGTGTGACCCAGGCCGCTGGGGGCTACTCCACACAAGGCCACCATCAGCCACAGACAGCGGCGGGAGTTCAAGGAAAGGATCGCCGCACCCTGGGCTGCGAGTCCCAGGGGGTTTCTGGAGAAGCAACTCATGCTGGCCCCTCGCTGCTCAGGCAGGGCGCAGGCACGCCTCCGGGGCTTGCTAAACCGAGCAGCTCCCAACGGAACTTCCCCTCAACCTAACCCCGGTCTGCCACGTGGCGTCCCGCCAAGGACACCCTCAAGGTCAGCGCACTTACGATGCCGTGGACTTGGGCCACCTTGCTGCACAAGTCGGGGCGCCACTTCTGAAGAGCCAGATAGAAGGGATTTTTCAGGAGGTCTTCATCATACAGAGCCATATGGACTTCAGAGGGTCAGAGTGAGTTTCCTGGGACGAGAGAGGGGGAAAAAGCCATAAACGACGTTTTCAGGTGTACATGACACGCAGAGTCTTCTTCTGGGCAACTTCCCAGAAAGCATGCTTGACCATGCGTACCATTGCTCCTCCACGGACCCCATCAGGAAATACCGAATGTCATCCACCAGTTCCAAGATGACCTGTTTATTGGTTGGATGTGTAAATGTGGCTCAGAAAAATACTGTGAAACTGCAACGCATGGCAAAAGTATAACGGCTATTCTTAGACCAGCCTACATGACCAAAAACCATGACATTCTGCGTTCTAAAGATACACATGCATTTTTAAGAAATGCTTTAAGCACGCGGAAAAGTACTGAGGGATAATGCAAATCTACCACCAGAATTAAGGGAGCTTAACGTTTTGCCACGTTTGCCTCAAGATTTTTCTTCCGAGAGATCAAGTGCATCCTCCGGCACGCCGCCTCTGCCAGGCGACGCGTCATCATTCCCCCCCATCAGAAGTGGAGTGTACTTCCCACCCCTGCACCTGAGCCGGCCCGGACTTGCTTTACCAACAGGCAAACTGACCCTGTTCATCTGGGGTGTCGGCCTCAAGACCTTGGCGGAGCCCCTCTCATTCTCTCGGGAGACCCCAAGAGCCAGCCTGCTAAAGACCGCAGCAGATAAAGCCACAAAAGGGTTCCTGCACGGCCACCCACCAGTGGAACACGGCCCAGGGCTGAGCCCAGTAGAACCCAGCACAACCTGGCCAACCCACTACAGTAGTAAACAAACGGCAACTATTTAAGCCACCAAGGTTTGGGCTGGTTTGTTACGAAGCAAACACTACCTGAAAACCACATCCTTTCCAATTCCAAAGCCATACAGTCCCTATAAATTTCTAAAATATTAAAGTTTTTTATTTTTAGGTCTTTAATCCATCTGGATTTTTATTTTTGTTACATGGCTATAAATTGGGCATCTAATTTTCATTTTTCCTATGTTTAAAGCCATTGTCTCCATCATCATTTGATCTATCTCTATCCCTTTTGCACTCATTAATAATGCTGATGTTCATACATGACTCCCCAAGATCCCGTGCATCGCTTTTGCCTGTTTTCATAGCGGCCTAGATCTAGTGCTGTCAACATAGAATACGCTAGGAACATGTAATTAGCATAGTAAATTTTTTTTTTTTTTTTTTTTTTTTGAGACAGAGTCTTCACTCTGGTGGCCTGAGCTAGAGTGCCGTGGCATCAGCCTAGCTCACACAACAACCTCAAACTCCTGGGCTCCAAGCGATCCTCCTGCCTCAGCTCCGAGTAGCTGGGACTACAGGCATGTGCCACCGATGCCCGGCTAATTTTTTCTTATTATATTAGTTGGCCATTAATTCTTGTTCTATTTATAGTAGAGATGGGTTCGCTCTTGCATCAGGCTGGTTTCGAACTCCTGACCTGTAGCAATCCCCGCCTCGGCCTCCCAGAGTGCTGGGATTACAGGCGTGAGCCACCGCGCCCGGCCTCATTGTTTATATATTCTGTATAGATTTTGCTGATTTTTAAAACGAGACTGGTTGTGGTAGGTAAGGTTCTAAAAGCAAAAGCCAAAGGACTTACAATCAGAGTCGTCCAGTACAGCAAAATAAGAATCGGGGGACACA